AGTAAAATTAATTTACAGTTTTAGAACATTTAAACATTAACACATTAAAACCAGTTAAAATTGTATACATGTGCAAATTGGGAATATCACTAGACCACAAAGGCTTTAATAAAAAAATGTTGGTACCAAAATGAAGGAATTGTTTCACCAGCTGGGCCTCTAAGGGAGTATATTCCATAACCAGGGTACTGCAAGAGAATTTTAATGCCACATTGCCAAGGTTCCCCAGCATTGGATTCCTTTCTCAGGCTTCAAAGAGAGTCATGCACACTTACTCTGCCCAACATTACTATTTCTCTTTCCTCAGGACACTGTAGTTGGAATGCAGGCTTTGGCCAAGTATGCAGGCTTGACTTACCGTGAGATAGAAGACCTCAAAGTGGTGGTGAAATCTGGTGAGGGTTTCCAGCATGAATTCCATGTGAACAAGAAAAATCAACTAGTGCTGCAGCAGGCCCCTCTTCCAGATGTCCCAGCTCAATACAAGGTGGAGGTATCGGGAAATGGTTGCGCATATGTGCAGGTGAGCCATGGAAACTCTAGGCAACAAGGAATGAAGGTACTGTACCAGTGAGCCTGGCTTTGATCCATTAGATCAGGGGTAGGCAACCTTTTTGAGCCGGGGGCCGGGTTGCTGTCCCTCAGACAATTGACGGGCCGAAGCACCAAAAATAAATAAATAAATAAATAAATAAATATTAAAATTAAAATTAAAAAAAGAATTAATTTTTTTTTAAAAAAAAATGCATGCACACTCTCTCAGTCCCAGAAAAGCCATGGAAAAACCCCTGTGAAGATTTTGCCAAGAAAACCCCAAGAACAAGTAATAACAACAGTAATCAATATCATCATGGGGGGGCGGCGGCGGTGGGGGGGGCGGCGGTGGCAGGACCAGTTTGGGGCCGGTCCAAAGGCCTTGCTGGGCCGCATCCGGCCCCCGGGCCTTAGGTTGCCTACCCCTGCATTAGATGCAAAGCAGAGACTGGGGAGAAAATCCCAGAGAGGGTGGGAGCGAGGGACAGGACACATGTCGGTTACTCTGACCTCTGAGCAGTATTGAGAAAAAGGAACACAGGTTAAGATCCTGTTCAACACTGGTGGGCATGAAGGTCAGCCAATATGCTTGTGCTGGAGGTTCAGCTTCACATCAGTAGCTGGAGAGCATCCAGTGCCCCCTCTGTGTGGATAAAGGAGAAATAATTACACCCCCC